AACAGTCTACTCTGAGAGTTAGTAGACATGTAGTTGCAAATTAATGAGAATTAGTTGACATGTAGTTGACATGTAGTTACAAAGTTACTTATAGTTAGTAGAATGTCTAAAGTGGACTATCGAAATAAAGTGTAACCAAAGTAACTTTTAAACGTAACGCATTACAATATTGCGTTACCCCATAAAAAAGTAACTAATTGTGTTACTTAGTTACTTTTTGTGGAAAGTAATGCATTACGTTACTTTTGCATTACTTTTCTCACCTGAGCTGGGCTTGATTATTTATTTTTAATAACAAAAAAATATATATTTTTGGCAACTGAAAAGGCCATTTCACACCAAAAGTTAAATTAATAAGCCTCGGGCTAAAAGAAGAGCCTCTGCCTCTGCACTTCACTTCCAGTTTCTCTCAACATGTGAAGAGCTGTCAGTCAATAAATGGGAAAACAAAGTAACTTGTGTTACTTATTTGAAAAAGTAACTCTTTACAATTTCTTGAAAATGTAAAATTAATGGGTTGCTTTACTAGTTACTTGGGGAAAAAGTTATCTAATTATGTAACACGTGTTACTTGTCATGCGTTACCCCCAACACTGTTTAAAATATGGCTGAATGAGGGTGAATTCTCATCAACCCAGGGTAATAACTGATTACATGTAATCTCGATTACATAATCAGATTTAAAAAGTGCTAACACTTTATTTTAAGGTGTCCTTGTTACACGTTACATGTACTTACTAGGACACCTTAAAATAAAGTGTAACCAAAAAAGTAAGTACTTGTAACTGGATTGTATTACATTTTAAAATGCTTATAATCAGATTACAGTTACTTTTTATGGATTACATGATTACATTTTATTCACACAATGGAAAAACACTGAACTGTGCTATTTTGGGAATATATTAAAATATTAAAAAAAAGTATTTAGTCACCACTTGTAGTACACTTGAGTGTACTAGTGTATGAAAGATGGGTTCAACAAGTGGTAGTGCGTATGTGCGTAAGCATTCGTATCTTGAGAAGGCCCTGCCAACTAATAGGCAACAATCCTGAATTTTTAATGTCATTGTTATGAATAAATTGAGTCAAAGAAACGTTGCCGATAATGTAGAAACCTGTGTTGCTTTTAAGATGTTAAGATGTTCTTGATGTTGGTGTTGGATAGCAAACATTTTACATATTGTGATATGGATTTTTAAGCTTAGAAGTGGCTTTGAAGTGAAATATGTCATAGCGGAAGTGGTTAAGTATATCGTTTCTGCCCTACTAGCATCACCTAGTGGAATTATTAAAATAAATACTGGTGTGAACTTGCTCATTTTTAACAAGAATTTCTGATCATTTAAGCTGAGATCATGACAAAATGGACATTTCAACTGTCATTTGTTAACTTATTTTGCCTTTTATCTATTGACATTGGTAAATGCCATAGCCTTGTGGTCAGTGCTCCAAAAAAATTAAGAAACTGTACTTTGATGGGATGTACTTTTTTGACAGCATAGTAAAAAATGGCTGTTTGCTCATATACCATCTTGTATTTTCCATTTTGAATGTTGAAAATCTGGTATTATATATATTCTAGATCACCAGAAGCTGGACAGGGAGGCTAGGATCTGCAGACTGCTGAAGCACTCCAATATTGGTAAGTTCACCACACACACACACACACACACACACACACACACACAAACACAAAACGTTTACTTAGCTATCTAAATGAGGTGAACTTGTGTTTATATAAAGCTAATTATAAATATAGCTGGCATTAATGAACAAAGCAATCTGGTGACTAGTAGTATTATTTTAGGCCAAACTATTTAGACATTATAAGTCATTTTTCTGGTTTCATTTTACTAGCCTCTAACGGCTCAGGTGCCCTCTGGGTATGACCAAGTTTCAATATGCCAAAGTCTTGCCAAACAGTTACAGGAAATACAGAATTGTTCAATTAGGTTAGTAATATCAGAACTTCCAGTTGGCTATCAATGCTTTTGGGAAACACACTCCTGTTTGGTATATCGAAAAGCTTTTGATAGCTTTTGGTCAGCATGGTCTGCACCATTTTCAGTTTTGAGCCAAATCTGTTGACAATCTGAGGAATTCTCTAGAAGGAAAATGGCAATGTGCTGCAGTAGCATCAACAACATCAACATCACATTTGACACTAAAATTGCTCAAGTTGATATTTAAACCCTCCTTAATCAATGTGCTAACCTTTTACCATACATTTCAATGGACTGCCATATATTGCAATGCAGAAGTAGTGGGAGAATAACAACTAGATAGAAAGTCACAGTTACCTTTTTTATTTTTATTCAGTGGCGGAAATGTGCTTCCGTGCATATCTGATAATCAGTTAAATTAATAAAATTTATTTTGCAAAGTTTTTTCCAGGAGCCTCTTGAGGTGCCTACCAATCAGGCAAATGCTTAAAGCTTAAAGCTCTGTTCTCAGTTCAGAGGTGAATCTGTGCTCTTATTTGAAAAAAGTTTGTAGCAAATCTGTTGGGAAGAACAATCCCAGAAAGAGTTAAAGTGTGAGTACTTGCAAGGCAATGGACTGTAAACGTCAGAAAACAATAATGAAACAAAAATGACTTTATAATCATGTTATCTCTTTTTTTCTTCTCCATCCAAACCACAAATGGCAATCCTTCACCAGTGCGGCTGCATGACAGCATCTCAGAGGAAGGTCACCATTACCTCATCTTTGACTTGTAAGTTTCTCTGACCAACCATACCAGATAAAAAGCAACTTACTGTACTGTACTATAATACTCTACAAACCATGAACTGAAATACTGCTGTAGGTTAACAAAGGCCCAAATGAGTAAAAAACATGATTTGTTTTTAGAAATGAATAAATACTTTTGCTTTCCTCTGCTAATGTCAGGTTTTGTGGGGGAAAAGGTAATAAAGGGTAATTTATTTTGCAATAGCGTGGGTGGATACAATAGATATCTTTCTTCATATTGAAATAATTACAGTACCTACTGTATGACACCTTCATAAAACCATTGTCTTATTAAAATTGCTAGATGTTGAAAAGAGATATAAGGGTGTCTCTTCAACTTCAAGCATTTTAGTCTCCCAGGGATTTTTATTAGAACTAACAGATTTCAGCTTCTGGTGACACTTTATTTTAATGTGTCCTTGTTACAGTTTAATTACATTTAAGTACTGAGTAATATTAATTAACAAATGCTTTTTATAGGTTTAGAGTTTGTTTTATTCTTGGAATTACACAATTTACTGTTAATACTATAGTAAATATGTGTAATATATGTAACAAAGTAAAATAAAGTGTTAGGCAGTGGTTTTTGTGTGTGTGTGTGTGTGTGTGTGTGTGT